CCAGTTTGTGGTCACTGTGGTAAGGTTCTACCTCTTTAGAATGGCCATGGCTGGAAAACCAGCCAGCAACAGTAAAAGGCAGTCCTGCCCTGGAGACTACTTGAGCCCCTCTAATGACAACAATGGCTCTAAGAGGCACATCAAGCCTATGCAGCTGTTGCTTCACCTAGGAACTACCTGCCCACAGGGCTTCTGTCTTATGAGAATCATTTTCCAGAGTCAGCATCTAAGCGCTGGTCCAAGACCTGCTTCAGTCTCGCCTAACTCGTACAGAAAAATAAAATTAATTGTCATCAGCTTACAGATGACAACTTGCTCAAATCTCCAAATAACTGCCTGTTTGCTTAATTATTTTAAAGCATTTATATACCACTCAATATGTCAAAAATCTCTAATGTTCCCAACAGCTTCATATATATGTTAAACAATGCACTTCCTGGCATTCAGCAGTATAGTAATTAGTATTTGATGTAGAAGGTTAGTTTACTTCATCTATGCTAAAGGAAGGACAATTAAAGCAAATAAAGTTGAATAATATGCAAGAGAAGTAGCAGATGCATGTGTTTCAAAGAGTTTCAGAAATATCTATTCCCTTGGGTACTTGCTGTTCTTGGAAACAAGTGTGATCACTGGCAATTGCATCCATATATGGTAATTAAAGTGTCAGCCTAATAGGCTAGGTAGCTCACCTTTGATCGCACTGCTTAATGTATTATAACGTCTATAACAGTCTTATTGATTATTTATATAGGATAAAGATTTCATCCTTGTATATCTAGCCTAAATTTCCCTTGTTTTACCATCCTCAGTAAGATATTGTTGATAACTTAGCAGCAAATAACTTGCCTTGGGATTCTGCCTGAATATGCATGTAGGTTATGATCATCCAAACACTTAGGCACATGCTGATAATGGCTTGAAATAAGTGACCCACCTCTCAATTCTTAAATTTGTGGAGGATAAAGCCGTCTAAACACTTTTTAAAGCTGTCTTAGTTGGTGGCCATTACTGCAGCATGTGGAGGAGTTCCATATTAAACTATACACAGTGTAAAGAAATACTTCTTTTGTCTGTCCTAAATCTTGCAACATTTAGCTTCATTTGATGATCCTAGTATTTGAGGAGAGGGAGAAAGCCATCAACCTTCTGCACAAACTATATAATCTTTCACAGCACAAACATGCCAATAACTTTTTTGTTTTAAACTAAAATGCTCAAAAGTTATAGCCTTTTTTCCAAATAGGGGGTTGCTCCAGCCCCTTGATCGTTTTAGTTCCTCTTTTCCAAGATGCTTTCCAGCTCTAGAATATAATTCAATGGCTTGGATCCTAAGGTAAATTAACTAAAGAAATTCATGGAGGAAATTTTTCCATTCCTTCCTTCCCACTGCTCCTTGTGAGCCTAGGGGTCAGGAGCCTGAACAACGTGGGATAAGATCTGTGCAGAGCTGCTGGGGAAGAAGGAATCATTGCAAACTGGGAGACCTCTGCCCACAGAGCCTATGCCACAATGTTCAGGAGGGCTTCTCCGGCTTCTCTGGAAAACTTTTTGGGTGGAGGGGCAAGGAAACTTCCCTTATTATGATACTGTATATTTGCAATGCGTATTTAGTAAACTGGCCTTCTGTGTGAGCTTGGCATGTTCTGTTTTTGAGTGTCTCTCTGAGTTACGTAAGTTGCTCATCCACTCTATTTGGGACACGGGTGGCGCTGTGGTAAAAGCCTCAGCGCCTAGGACTTGCGATCGAAAGGTCGGCGGTTCGAATCCCCGTGGCGGGTGTGCGCTCCGTCGCTCGTCCCAAGCGCCTGCCCACCCTAGCAGTTCAAAAGCACCCCCAGGTGCAAGTAGATAAAATAGGGACCGCTTACTAGCGGGAAGGTAAACGCGTTCCGTGTGCTGCGCTGGCTCGCAGATGCAGCTTGTCACGCTGGCCACGTGGCCCGGAAGTGTCTGCGGACCAGCGCTGGCTCCCGCCTATAGAGTGAGATGAGCGCACACCCTAGATCTGGCAAGACTGGCCCGTACGGGCAGGGGTACCTTTACCTTTACCATATTTGAGCATTAGTTTCACTTTTGATCCTTATTGATCCGGTTTGGACAATAGTGACTCTCCTTATTACAATATTATGCCTGTTTACTACTGCTGAAAATTGCCACATTGTTTCCCATCTGTTCTTCTTAAACTGTGAGGAATTCTGACCTTATACGTGTTTCTAAAATTAAATAGAAAGAGGAAGATTCTGTCAGTAAGACATAAGAAGGATTTATGATGCATTAAGTCTCTGCAATATTTAAACAACTGTGTGTTGAAGGGCAATCTAGGAAACTTTAACCAGGTATAGTTACTATTACTAGCCATAAGTGCAGGCCAAATAAATCTGGTCCACTGTCAATGTCAGTTTTCAGAATTAATTTGCCTACTTAATAGCTTTGTATATTGGGCAGTAAACTACAATAAAGCAATAAACGTGTTAACAAAAAGGTGGTTATATACCTGAATGCTACATTTTGCGTCACAAGCTGTTTCAGGTTTTACTTGAGCTGTTCAATTAATTCCAAGGGCATATTTATACAATAAACCTAACCTAGTTCACATCCATTCCCTCTTCCCAGAAGACTCTGATACTTGTAATTCTTGTGGGGAAGAGGGAATAAGGGAGGCAGTAAAGATATGTGACAGAATTTTTTCAGCACTTTACCTAACGTAGCACAAGGCTGTTTGAACTCTCATTGAATTCAATCAAACTTATTCCCAAGGTAAATTGCCTAAAATGCAGGCTCTTAAAGGATGTCATATTTGATGCACCAATGGGTCTTAAGCGCCTTTGCTTCCCCCTGCCCGGGGCAAGTGCTGGAAGTGCGCAGCGGGCTTACTTCTGAGAAAGCACGCAAAGAGTCACACTATTTAATCCCACAGCCGGTTGGGGCCGAAACCCTGCGCCTTGCTGGGGTTGCACCCCTGCTGACGGGTTGTGCAACTGCTGCATGCGAAAAGACTTCAGGTCTTGCTGAAAGGGCTGCATGTAAAAAAAAACTAAGCAACACGTGTTTCTCATCTTTAAGGGATTTCAGACCTGAAAATGCAAAAAAAAAAAAAATTATTTTTTAAAAGCAATGAATAGGCTACTCAGGTTCGACCCACTGAAGTTCAAGGACACATCTCGCTTTGGTTCAATAATTCCAGCGGCTCTACTCTGAGCAGTGCTTGGCTGAATCCAGCCCAAGGTCACCGGAGTCCACGAGATATTAGCCTGTTCAGATCCGAGGCCTTCCGGGAAATCACACCCGTCTCTGCCCTCAGAGGCCTTGATCCCGCACCTTGGGGTGTGGGGTGGAGGTTGGTAATGATTAAACCGTAAGAAAAGCCCTGTGTGTTCCTGTCAATTAATTTGTGTGTCATACTTGAGTTCTGGCATGTAAAGCTGTTTCTAGCAGGCCCAGGCCTCAACAGACCTGGTTCACACACCGCGCCTTATCTGAAGAGCCTGCAAATACTGCAGATCAGCAGTTAATTCATTCAGTCCCACATTTTGCCAGAGTTTATCAATCTCTCCGGGATCCAACTTCTAGAATGCTCTTGTGCTTGAATTCTGTCTGTAGGCTTTGCACTAATATCTGGGTGGCCACCATGAGAACACAGCATGCTGGAGTAGATAGTCCATTGGGCCAATCCAACAGGCTCTTCTTATATTATATAACTATACACCTTCCATGCCTCCTGGAATATGAATGTTAACTAACGAGCAATGTATGCTATCACGCTGAATACAGGTAAGAATCCTGTTGGAAACCTCAGAGTTTCTCTTTCACCCTAAGCTACCTTGCATATAGAAGTTCTTGATGCATGGTTCTTAGTGACAGCTGCACTTAATCTTCCTAATATAGCACTGACTCTGGATGAATTTTAACTAGCTTCTATCATACAGGTATATCCCACTTACCTCCAAAGAGCTCAAGGCATGAACATGCATCATCCCCACTTCATTTTATCCTCTCAACAGCCCTGTGAGGTGGGATAGGCTGAGAAATGGGAAGTAGGAATGTGAATCTTGGTCATCCTAGTATAATCCCAAAACCATACTGGTACTATCATCCCCGATGTGCTTGTACAACTCTACTCAAAATAGTTTCTTTCCAGAGGTAAATAAATAGGGGGATGACACTTTGATTTCTGTTCTTTTTATATTCAGACATGATGTCCTATGGGATTATAGTTGAGGACAGGAGTCGCATCCTATCCATGCTCACTTAGAAATAATTATGCTTAGTATTTCAATAGTTTATTTTTTCATTGGACCTGGGTATCATAATTCACAACTAGATAAAAGCACATGGTGCAGGAAAACCTAGAATCTTTTAGGTGTGTTTCAAGTTTAAAGATTTGGGCGGGAAAATATGCTCTGGATCATGAGTGCTATTTACTTTGTGTGACACATAACAAAATATAGTAAATATTACAGTATATAAAAATATTATTTCAGGCATCATAAATTTTAACAAAACTGAAGCGATCAGTGGTGCAGAAGGATCTTTATCTGTGTTGGCTCATGAGTAATTCCAAGCAAGTGTACAAAAGGAATTGTAGCCCTGGGCTGCAATACTATAAAAAAACCGCCTCTTAGAGAGTAAATCCCACTGAGTAAACATGCATGGGATTGCACTGTTAGCATCTTAAATCGCATGGATTGCAGCGCGGGGGGGACGGACCTGTGCAAAATCGCCAACCAAACACTCAGTAGCCAGTTCTTCAGAACTCTGCGATAATCAATTTATCTCTCTCACTCTTTTTTTTTTTTTTAAGCACACTGATAATCTCTGGAATTTGATCCCATAACGACAAAGCCAACAGATCCCCTCCCAGTTCCTTTTGCCGAGAGCGCGTTCTACTGATCCAAGCCCGCCTCCCATCTCCGGGGACGCAAGGCGATGGACTGCTACAGCTGCCAATCAGCAAGTGCGGCGACTGCCGGCCGGTTGCAGGTGTTCTCTCTACTTTGGCGGCGCTTAGAGGAACCTCGCCTGGAATCGGAGCTGCAGCTAAATCCGACTGCGCGTTGCAGCAGCGGGCAAAGGAAGCAGCGCAGAACCTCGGGTGTCTCACAGGTACCTCTCCCCCGCCCCCCCGGTCTCTCCCAAGGGCAGAGGGCTTTGCATCCTTCCTTTCTTAGAACTACAGGGCGGGCTGCTCAGAAATGCCGGGTTTATGTTCTCTAGGATTGTGGAAACTTTTGTGGGCTTTGTCAGCTCAGTTTTTGTTTTTTTCATTTGCAAATTGGCACAACCCCCGTGTCTAGTAAGCAGGCCTAGTAGGGAGTGTTGCCTAAGGCGTGTGAGGAAGGATGGCAACATTTTGACTTACAAAGCAGCTCTCCTCTTCTCCCTTTAACAACTGTCCCCTCCTACCAAGGGAGGTGGTCATGTACGAAACCGAGTGGAACTTTATATTCTGCTTGTAACCGAAGAGCAATTGTGTGTGCCTTTACACAGGCAGGATAGGATAATAGAAAATGCGTTTCCTTTCTCTGCCTCTCATTCTTCACGGGCAGAAATATTACAAGAGCGGGTGGGTGTTTGCGAAGTGCCAGTCTAAAACCAAACTTTAACCTCCTGAGGGGAAAAGGTAACACCGTCAGTATATGGCCCTTCATTATTTCCTGAATAGTTTGCTGTTGGTCCCCGTTACTACATGAAGGCAGGGCTGCAATGCAATTTGCTGCGTAATTCCTGCTTCTCCTCAGTGCTGCTGGAGCTGCTTTCACTTCTTTGGAAACAAGATGAAGGCAGCGTGTTTGTGGCCCAGTTGTCCTCAGGGGTATAAGATGGATGCATTTGAGAGAGCTCTTGGCAATTTGTTTTTCATCCATGACTGGCCACACCCAGACCCCCCCCCCCTGTATAAAATCTACCTACAGCAGTGAATTAAAGCAATTCTCCCCCCCCCTCCTTGATCCTTTCAAAGATCAAAAGTGTGTCTGAGATCATATGGAAGAATTGGGATATTTCCAGACTTTCAGGTGCAGCAATGTTACTTTTCTTTTCCTGCAGTGTTTGATCCTTGGAGAGGAAATGAGCGCTGCTTAACCTCAGGATCTATCTTGATGCTTATTGTATAAGATAGGAATGGACGAGTATGAAAAATTAATGCAGTGCCGTAGACTGGAGAGAACCAATACACAAGCATTCTGGAAATTCTCAAATATCCTTATGGTTTTCTGAACAATTTTAAGTACGTATCTAATATGGTTCAGGAACACACTAAACTAACTTTCTGAATGCTGACTGACAACACATTGTGAGAATTGATAGCGTTGGTTCTCAAAACCAGAAGGAAGATGTTCCTAGGGAGGCATGGAAGTTGATGATGGGGAAAATATAGAAAAATAGAACAAGTTTGTTTGAGCCAGGAACATGGGTGTAGCCAGGAACATGGGTGTTTGAGCCAGGAACATGGGGGGGGGCAGCTGCCCCCCAATCAATAAAAATACATAGCTAACTATGGGCCTGTCCCCCTAACAAAGGGCCTGCCCCACTAACAGAAATCCCGGCCACGCCCATGGCCAGGAAGGAAATAGTTCACTCATGAGCTGTTACTGCAACTGGCACTCGGGGGTCCATTTACTTGTGTTACAGAACAATAACTTCTGACCCATTGTGCTGGAGGGGGTGTGGATGAGGCATGGGTGTCTCTTTATCCAGATCTGCCAACTCCACTGGCTGGGGAATTTGGTTGCCAGTGGGGAAGTCTCACTGGTGAAGAGCACTACAGTGTGCAGAAGCTGCTGTCGCCTGTATTCCCACCTGTCAAAATGGGGAGTTTTAGGGGAGAGGTTGGACTGGCATCCTCTACTAGCTGGATTCTGAAGCTAGGTCTACTGCCCTCATGTAGCAGCACCTGGAAGCTGGTGTGGCAGGGGTATTTTCTTTCGCCCCTTCTGGGCTAGCATAAGAAGGCATTCTCTCAGGTACCCAGGACCCCAATTATATAAGGGGTTGTAAGTCAATGCAAGTATTTGAAAGCAGGCTTCGTAGCACATAGGCACCCAGTACAGTTCTTTCAGAATTGGTGTTATACATTCGCAGTAAGTCACTCCAGAGAGAAGCTTTGCTGCAACTTCCAAACCAAAGTCAAGGGCAATCCCACACAGACTTAATTACAGTAGTCCAGTCTTGAGGTTACCAGTTTGTGGATCACTGTGGTAAGGTTCTACCTCTTTAGAATGGCCATGGCTGGAAAACCAGCCAGCAACAGTAAAAGGCAGTCCTTGCCCTGGAGACTACTTGAGCCTCTAATGACAACAATGGCTCTAAGAGCACATCAAGCCTATGCAGCTGTTGCTTCAGACCTAGGAACTACCTGCCCACAGGGCTTCTGTCTTATGAGAATTCATTTTCCAGTGTCAGCATCTAAGCGCTGGTCCAAGACCTGCTCAGTCTCGCCTAACTCGGTACAGAAAAATAAAATTAATTGTCATCAGCTTACAGATGACAACTTGCTCAAATCTCCAAATAACTGCCTGTTTGCTTAATTATTTTAAAGCATTTATATACCACTCAATATGTCAAAAATCTCTAATGTTCCCAACAGCTTCATATATATGTTAAACTAGCACTTCCTGCATTCAGCAGTATAGTATTAGTATTTGATGTAGAAGGTTAGTTTACTTCATCTATGCTAAAGGAAGGACCAATTAAAGCAATAAAGTATGAATATATATGCAAGAGAAGTAGCAGATGCATGTGTTTGCAAGAGTTCAGAAAATATCTATTCCCTTGGGTACTTGGCTGTTCTTGATAACAAGTGTGATCACTGGCAATTGCATCCATATATGGTAATTAAAGTGTCAGCCTAATAGGCTAGGTAGCTCACCTTTGATCGCACTGCTTTATGTATTATAACGTCTATAACAGTCTTATTGATTATTTATATAGGATTAAGATTTCATCCTTGTATATCTAGCCTAAATTTCCCTTGTTTTACCATCCTCAGTAAGATATTGTTGATAACTTAGCAGCAAATAACTTGCCTTGGGATCTCTGCCTGAATATGCATGTAGGTTATGATCATCCAAACACTTAGGCACATGCTGATAATGGCTTGAAATAAGTGACCCACCTCTCATTCTTAAATTTGTGGAGGATAAAGCCGTCTAAACACTTTTTAAAGCTGTCTTAGTTGGTGGCCATTACTGCAGCATGTGGAAGGGAGTTCCATAGTTAAACTATACACAGTGTAAAGAAATACTTCTTTTGTCTGTCCTAAATCTTGCAACATTTAGCTTCATTTGATGATCCTAGTATTTTGAGAGAGGGAGAAAGCCATCAACCTTCTGCACAACATACATAATCTTTCACAGCACAATCATGCCAATAACTTTTTTGTTTTAAACTAAAATGCCTCAAAAGTTATAGCCTTTCCAAATAGGGGGTTGCTCCAGCCCCTTGATCGTTTTAGTTCCTCTTTTCCAGATGCTTTCCAGCTCTAGAATATAATTCAATGGCTTGGATCCTAAGGTAAATTAACTAAAGGAAATTCATGGGAGGAAATTTTTCCATTCCTTCCTTCCCACTGCTGCCTTGTGAGCCCTAGGGGTCAGGGAGCCTGAACAACGTGGGATAAGATCTGTGCAGAGCTGCTGGGGAAGAAGGAATCACTTGCAAACTGGGAGGACCTCTGCCCACAGAGCCTATGCCACAATGTTCAGGAGGGCTTCTCCGGCTTCTCTGGAAAAACTTTTTGGGTGGAGGGGCAAGGAAACTTCCCTTATCTTATGATACTGTATATTTGCAATGCGTATTTAGTAAACTGGCCTTCTGTGTGAGCTTTGCATGTTCTGTTTTTGAGTGTCTCTCTGAGTTACGTAATTGCTCATCACTCTATTTGGGACACGGGTGGCGCTGTGGGTAAAAGCCTCAGCGCCTAGGACTTGCCGATCGAAAGGTCGGCGGTTCGAATCCCCGTGGCGGGGTGCGCTCCCGTCGCTCGGTCCCAGCGCCTGCCAACCTAGCAGTTCAAAAGCACCCCCGGTGCAAGTAGATAAATAGGGACCGCTTACTAGCGGGAAGGTAAACGGCGTTCCGTGTGCTGCGCTGGCTCGCCAGATGCAGCTTGTCACGCTGGCCACGTGGCCCGGAAGTGTCTGCGGACAGCGCTGGCTCCCGGCCTATAGAGTGAGATGAGCGCACAACCCTAGAGTCTGGCAAGACTGGCCCGTACGGGCAGGGGTACCTTTACCTTTACCTATTTGAGCATTAGTTCACTTTTGATCCTTATTGATCCGGTTGGACAATAGTGACTCTCCTTATTACAATATTATGCCTGTTTACTACTGCTGAAAATTGCCACATTGTTTCCAACTTGTTCTTCTTAAACTGTGAGGAATCTGACCTTATACGTGTTTCTAAAATTAAATAGAAAGAGGAAGATTCTGTCAGTAAGACATAAGAAGGATTTATGGATGCATTAAGTCTCTGCAATATTTAAACAACTTGTATGATGAAGGGCAATCTAGGAAACTTTAACCAGGTATAGTTACTATTACTAGCCATAAGTGCAGGCCAAATAAATCTGGTCCACTGTCAATGTCAGTTTTTCAGAATTAATTTGCCTACTTAATAGCTTTGTATATTGGGCAGTAACTACAATAAAGCAATAAACTTGTTTAACAAAAAGGTGGTATATACCTGAATGCTACATTTTGCGTCACAAGCTGTTTCAGGTTTTAACTTGAGCTGTTCCAATTAATTCCAAGGGCATATTTATACAATAAACCTAAACTAGTTCCACATCCATTCCCTCTTCCCAGAAGACTCTGATACTTGTAATTCTGTGTGGGAAGAGGGAATAAGGGAGGCAGTAAAGATATGTGACAGAATTTTTTCAGCACTTTACCTAACTGTAGCACAAGGCTGTTTGGAACTCTCATTGAATTCAATCAAACTTATTCCCAAGTAAATGTGACTAAAATTGCAGGCTCTTAAGGATGTCATATTTGATGGCACCATGGGTGCTTAATATTGCAAATGGGTCATTCAGATATTACAAACAGGTAGTTGTCAATATTCTTTTTAAATATACTTAATTTTGATGCCAATGGTGTGGACAC